CTGACCTGATCCGAACGGGACTTGGATGTTCAAGGTGAAAAATGTGCCTTATTTAAGCTTAATGACATCATTTATAATACCAGTAGTAATTTGTCTAAGTAAGTCATCACGATCGACGGAACTGCTGCAGGAAGAGTGTTCGTCGGTCTTTTGGTGGAAACGGTAGTTATTTCTGTTCATTATGATTTCGAAAGACCTACAGTTTAGTATATGATTAGGAGTATTATGCAAAACTGCAAAGATAATATATAAACGATGTAATCTTTACAGAACACTGGTTCCCGAAAAGTATTATGTTGGCTGCAAAAACTTAGTTTCTGAAAATTTTTACCATCCAACTATTAACAGAGATGTTGCTTTCTGTCCATATCCCCAAAAAATGTAAATCTAGCCCCTAATAATTTCACTCGCGTTTCTTTCGAGCTTTAAAAATGAGTACCTCTGTATTGAAAGGAAACGTAAGACTAAACACTATACCTCCGGGATGGCTGCTGCCCATTCTGCTTTTAAATTGAGGCACTCCTGCCTGTTAGCACAGAAATAGCGATCAGTCACTAACCATTAATTTTATGAAAGAAGGACTTCAAAAAGTAGTCCATTTTGAAGTTGAATGGAATCCGACATTCTCACGGTTACAAATTTCTGCAGTACTTTTCCTTCCTAATGAGAAATTGCATGATGATTCCTTCAGGGATTTAAAGGGACATTCGCCTTCACCACCTTTCTTCTACATTTGTTATTGGTATGCATTTTCCGAGGTAGAATACTCTTAAAAAGTATGGAACTCTGTAAATTCTAAGAACCAAAGCCCAGTTCAGAGCTTTGAGGTCCATGACAAGACCTCACAGATGGATATGGAGATTCTATAGGTGTGCTATAAACAGTATGGAACAATGTGAAAACAATATTAGAAGTTGTTAGTTTTCCCTTTTCATAACACAGACGATAAAGAAAGTGCATTTGACAGTGAGTCATACTTCTGCGATTTGCATACCTCCTTCAAGTACCAATATCGTTTTGCATTAAAATGGTTCGCTTCATTGCACTCAGCAGTTTAATGTATCATGTAATGGGATCAACGAACAGTACAGTACAAATCAGCGTGTGTATAACAAAGTATGTGTGACGACAGCAAGCAGATGATTAGATACTACTGAGGTGATCTGTGAGCAGCTTCCTCAGACTGCCACAAAGTCGCTTCTCTGTGGATGAGGGAATAATACCGCATTCAGTGTTCAGGGACAGCTTTAAAGCTGTGTAAATCTGTTCTCTTTCTAAAAGATGTTATATCCATACGGAAAGAATTGTTCATCTAGCGTTGATTTGGATCTTCACGTGGGATAGGCTAGTTCATTTGCTGATTTCAGCGTTCGTAACGCAATTCGGCGTTTTGATTTTCCACAACTGTCGTTGACATTTCGTGTAGAATAACTGAAATTTTCCGAGGTTTTTCCCCAACATATTTCCGGTTTCACATTCAAATTATGACCAATCGACCAGAGATTGTAACGAAGCGAAATTTAGTTTTCATTCTGATCTGTTAACTGCCATGCGCCGTGCCATAGCACCGCCTCTGAAGCAGCCAACCTGAGTCTGCATTACAATTCTGGTTTTCATTCATTGCTCAGAGGAGTACTGCTTAATTGCCTGACGAAATTAATTCGTCGTCTTGCTATTTTGTTTGGTCAAATGGTATGTATGTTGCTTTGAGACCGCACTTAGGTTTTGTTGTCTTGCCTCGCCCATGACGCTACTAGACTACTAAACCTAACTCCGCAGCTGCGTTTTTAGATTGAGACGCATGGCTGCTGTTGATGTTGAATGAGGGCAGATAATGAACAACGTCGTTAGCGTAGTTCACGACTGTGAACGTACAGTCAATCACCGATGTTCAAGATGCTATGTAGTACATCCTGTATAATGCAGTCTATTGGCAAGCGGAGCAAGAATGTTGCGAGGATGCAACATTGCCCTATGGCGTAGTGGCACAGTGCAGTGCTAAGCGATGAGCCTCGGACTCAAGCGATGCCGAGTTCGATTCCTCTAGAGAGCAAAGTTGCCATAACCACGAATTCCTTTAAGCAAGCAATTTATTACATGTTGACGTAGACCGGAGTTGCTCAGTCGGTTGAGCGTTATACTCGTAATCGCATGACCGCGAGATCTCGGATTCGAGACAAGGTCAAATCATCAGGTTTTCTTCCTTCTTATGTTGACAAATGAATATCACTTTATGTAAGGAAGAGCGACATTCCAACGA